GATGAGAACAGGGGTACTGTCAGTAAGTCAAGTTGCACATGGCAAGGGCCACTGGGAACCCCACTGTTCTTGAACTACCAAAAGGCAAACACTGTACAAGTTCCTTTTTGGCGTGTTTAGCCTCCTGCTCACCTCAGGACCTCATAGTCATCGTTGATGTGACAAAAATGTTGTGAAAATAAACCCAAGACAGGGGGAAGAGGGCTCAGGGAGGAAGGGGACAAGGCAGTGAGAAGAGAGGTGGAAAGAGGAAGGGAATTGCTTCACACTAATGAACAAGTGTAACAAAGAATTGGTTGAGACAATCACTAACAAACCATTAGGACACTGACTTCAAACACTATCTCTAAAACATCCCAGATATGGTGGTGCTTTGACAAATGATTTCTCTTTATAGACGGATCTGGTATGGTAAACGTAAGTATGATATACAACAATATGAAAAATAAAGAATGATAGAATCAAAATATCATCACTTTTTGAGTCATCAATGAATGATTGGATCCAGACAAAGATCGTGAGAAACTGCTGACATCACCAAAGGAGAGGCAGCATCACTAAGTACCCAAGATTGAGGGAACAAGTGCCACTGCGGCAGCAATCTCAGCAGAGGAAAAGTCAAATCTGAACCTGGCCAAACTTCTCAATCCAAGTGATAATTTATAGGAAAAGCAGTTATAACGAAGAGAATTACGTTCAAAAAGTCGAGGAATAAAATCCACAAAGTTCACACTGGAGAAATATCACACACCAGATGGACTGATTTCTTTCTTTCTTGATTTTTTTTTTCTGTAGCAGTTTATTGTGTTTATTTGATAAGCAGATGGGGAGAGAGAGACAGAGATGTCTGGCATCCATTGGTTCACTCCACAAATGTCTGCAAGAGACAGGGTTGTTCAAAGTCAAAGTCTGGAACCCAGAAATCCCATCCAGGTCTTCCAAGAAGGTAGCAAGAACCCAAGTACTCAGGTCATCATCTATTGCCTCCCAGGCTTATTAGCAGGGAGCTGTTGATCTAATTTCCTCAACAACTGAATAACATTTTACCGAGAGAGCACGATAGGAAAGAGGAGACAGAGAGAGAGGGGGAAGGAAGATAAACAGAGAATGGTCTTCTACAGATTAGAAAATACTTGCAAAAATCTGCCTCCCCAAAAATCACAATTGGAACACAAAAATCTTATCTGGACATTGATAGAAATAAACCATGAAAACAATAGGATACTCATGAAAACAATTGAAGATTTAAACCTTATTAGGTGTTTGATGATATTAGAAAATTACTAATATTTTAGGTATGCCTTGTGGAGTTTTGAAAGACTTTTGTTATTGTTATTTTGTTTTCTTTTTATTTTTGCTTTTTTGGTTTTTTTAATATTTTCTTGTTTGTTTTTTCCTTTTTTAAGACTTTTTTTAGAGATGTACACATTGCCACAAAGCTTTAAGTCACAAGCCTATTTAGTTCGTGTAAGTCCCCCTTCCCTTCCAATCTTGGGTATTACACAATGTCATAAATAAGTATTAGATGTGTTTGAGACTTAAGCTTTTGTGGCAATAGGTACATTGGGGAATCGCTGTGTCATTATACTTGGATTTACTTAAAATCTTCATTGATAAGGTTAGGTGCTGTAACACAGCTTGTTAAGTAGCCACTTGGAAGGCAAAAGAGTGCCTGAGATAGTCCTGTCTCTACTTCTGATTAAATTTTCTACTAATGTGCATCCTGGGAAGCAACAGGCAGCTCAGATATGCGGGTTCATGGTGCCTCTGTGGGAGACTCCCCACACTGTTCCTGCATAGGGCAGAACCAGCTGTTGTAGGTATTTGGAAAGTGAACCAGCTAGTAGAAAATCTGTCTTGATCTATTCTCTCTTCTGCTCTGTCTCAAATAAGTAAAAATAGATAAAATGTAAAACCTTCTTAACAAAGAGATTTACGAAATAAATCATATCAGGGCATGCATTTGCAATAGCAGCTGAAATGATGCTTGATAAAATGCCATATTACAATGTCTGACATAGAGTCCTGGCTCCATTTCTGAACGCAGCTTCCTGCTAATGCTCACTCTGGGAGACAGGAAACAATGACCCAAGTACTTGGGCTGCTGTCAGCCACTTAGGAGAAGTGAATTGAGTTCTGGAAGACTGGCTTTGGTCTGGCCCAGTGGACCAGTGAATGGGAGCTCTCCATCCACCATGTGTGTACATGTGTCTGCTTTCAAATAAATGAAAACATAGATAGCTAATTAATTAGTAAACAGGATCATTAATGAACAGTATCAATAAACATTTTCTACCTTTATAGTAAAATTTGATATGTTAACCTGGCTAAAAGAGAAAAACTAGAACTGTAGAACTTTTTGGAAAAAAAGGGCAAAAATTAAAACCAGCTGTAACTTTTTATTTGCAGCACATGTTTCTCTTCGTTCAGAAGATGTTTTTTAGGGGCCTTTCGATGGCTTAGTTGGCTGATCTGCTACCAGCATGCGTCAAATCCAATTTGGGCACCAGTCATTGTCTTGCTGCTCCACTTCTGATCCAGTTCTCTGGTTATAGCCTGGGAAAGCAATGAAGGATGGCCACAAGTCTTGAGTCCCTACATCCATGTGGGAGAACCATAAGAAGTTCCTAGCTCTTGGCCCAGCCCCAGCTGTTGAAGATATTCGGGAAGTGAACCAGTTACGGAAAAACTCTGTGTTTCTCCTTCTCTCTGTAACCTTTAAAGTATTTTTAAAATCAAAACTTCACATTTTATCCAATATACATGTACAATTATTTTAATAAGTTTCTTGATTTTTATTTTTCGTGATACAGTTAATAAAATCTTCTTTTTAAAAAAAAGATACATTTATTTTTATTGGGAAATCATATAGAGAGGAGAAGAGACAAAGAGGAAGATTTTTCATCGATTGATTTACTCCCAAAGTGGCCACAATGACCAGAGATGAGCCAATCTGAAGCTAGGAGCCAGGGCATCCTCCGGGTCTCCTATATGGGTGAGGGGACCCAAGGCTTTGGACTGTCCTCAACTGCTTTCCCAGGTCACAAGCAGGGAACTAGATGGGAAGGGGGAATGCCAGGACATAAATTGTGCCCTTATAAGATCCCGGCTCATGCAAGGTAAGGGACTTAGACCACTAGGCTACCACGCCAGGCCCAATAAGATCTTTTTTAAAAGAGGAAGAGCAAGATGCAACCCATGAAAGAAGGAAAAGAGGCTAAGTGTGAGCACAAAAAGGAACTACATAGATTGTCTGGATTTTAATATGCTAGAGACTGGCATTGTGAAACAACATGTTATGCTGCCACTGTGACGCCAGCACCCTAAATGTGCATTGTCTTGACTCCCTGCTGCTATAGTTCCATCCAGCTCTTTGTTAATGTGCCCAGAAAGGCAAAAGGAACATGGCTGACATATTTGAGCCCCTGCTACCAATGCGGGAGCCACCAATGAGGTTCTGTGTTCCTGGCTTCTGATTGGCCCAGCCCAACTCACTGTGGCCATTTGAGGAGCAAACCAATAGGTGGAAGATGTCTCTCTCACTCACTTGCTCCTTCTGTGTAACTCTATCATTAAAGTAAGTAAATAGAATATTAAAAAAAAATAAGAAGCAATAAAATAAGGCTGTGGGATTGGAGTTTCTAGTGAAATGATAGTATTGATGCTTGAATAAACATAGCTTTTCAGCAGATCTGGGTTCTTCGGCACTGCCCATGGTCTAATTAACGAGTTCTCTAAACCTCATATTCTGCATCTGGAAAAAAAGCAAGGTGATGGTGCTTGCCTTACAGGGTTCACATAGAGGTGAAAGACAAAGTATGTGAAGGCCTCATCTGCCTCTTGGTATAGTCAGAATAAAATAAGGAAAAGACCACAGACACCAGGTGAGCATCTCCTTAACCCCCGGACATCAGGGACACAGGCATGCGTGTTACTGGGGCTGATCTAAGCCACAAGCATCCATCCCCCAGCTGGGCATTCATCTACTGTGAGTGTACAGGGTGAGAAACTCACAGAGGTTATGAGCAACCCCAGAAAGTCTCTACACATTGGAGTGGACTAATGGAATATAGTCCACATCTACATCCACTACAATGGAAACTGGTCTACCTCACTTGGAACATGTTTGGCCAGAGTTTTTGCATCAGCAGAACACTCACTAGCAACAAACATTTATCTGAAGCATTTGACTTCCGTGATGAGACCAGTTTTATTGAAACCTATGAAGCCTCGGTCCCTTCTTTCCTGCAGTCTGTCAATGTTTTCATTCATCACCCTGCAGGTTTGGAATGGGAAATGAGCACAGATGTAGAATTCCCACAGGTTCAAATACAACACCTATGGCCTTAGAAAGAGAAGTCTGAATGTTCCCTATCATTTGATTTTTCCACAGCTATGCTCCTTCAGTTACGTTAGTGTCATGTGCCACATGCAAAAGTCAGAAACTTCAAGAGCTTTATGCAGTGTTATTAAAGTGATTAATATTCCCCAAACTGCACCCACTATTTTTATTTTTTAAAGTTCACATAAACAACAACAAAAAAGCCACTAAATTATTATCATCCTACCACTTGGGACTTTAGAATATGTTTTCTAACCTTTGCTCTTCTTTACCAGTTTCTTGTTCCTAAAAATGTACTGCAATTTTACAATCTGCTTTCTTTCACATAACAATATACCACAAAACTTTTCTTTATTCTCTATCACATACTTTTTTTCAATGACTCTATCATACTATCATATAGATGTATAATTTATTTTTTAAATCCCTAGACTGAACGCAAGAATGTTTCCAATCATTTACCAACAAAATCTCATTTCTTTCTTTCTTTTTTCAAAACGTCTCACATATTTATTTCTGAATCAACCCACTAGCCACGGCCCCAATCAACCTGTCCAGCTGTGCAGATGATGGTGGTATCCTCAACTTGATATGGTCAAGAAGATAGTGATGTTGACACAGCACAAAGCATGTGTTTAATCCGTTGAAGTGCAGGTTCTCACAGACCCGCCTTGGTTCTTCTCCAGTGTCTCCTCTTGGAGTTATACTTGATCTTATTATCAGTTTCCATGTGAATCCATTGGGGAATGAGACAATTTTGCTTTTGTTTTTGGCCAGGAATCTCTTGATTCTAAAGGTCTTGTGAGAAGACATAGTGAGGAAGATTTGGGGACACTCACCATGATTGTGGAGTGAGGGAGAACTGATTTCTTTCTTATAAAACGAAAGAAGGAAAGAAGAAAGAAAGAAAGAAAGAAAGAAAGAAAGAAAGAAAGAAAGAAAGAAAGAAAGAAAGAAAGAAAGAAAGAAAAGGAAGGAAAAAAAGAAAAAGATTTATTTATTTTGAAAGTTAGAGTTACAGGGAGAGCAAGAAATCAAGAGACAGAGATCTTCCATCCATGGGTTCACTCTTCTGCTGGCCACAACAGCCAGTTCTGGGCCAGGTCAAAGCTAAGAGGCAGGACCTTCATCTGGTCTCCTGCATATGTGGATGGCAGGATTCAAACACTTGGGTCATCTTACCGTTGTTTTTTCCCCAGGCACATCAGCAGATAGTTGGATCAGAAGTGGAGCAGCCAGGATCGGAACCGGTGCCCATATGAGATGCTAGTGTTGCAGGTGGCAGTTTTATCTACTTTGCCACAAAACTAACTCCGAATTATGTCTTAAAATGGAAAAAGGTGGTAGAGAAAGTATTGGAGATTTCTGCTTCAAAAGTTCCACAGAGAAACCTGTTACCTAACTAGACGAGATGCAACCAAGAAAGCCTGTGTTTCAAGTTCAAAAACACCTTTGAACTCCAACCATTCTATTCAAGTGTTTCAGAAGGTCTGCACCTGTGCAGCCACCACCCCAGCTCTGTTGGAATTCCCAAGGCAAGCGATGCCACACAATGGGGCAGAGAGCTTTGTTTCTCCAGACTCCTGTGGGAATGTTCATCTTAAGGTTCAAGCATCATCATGTTTGCAAAGCCTGAGTCAGAAATTCCACCACCCAAGAAATTGAAAAGCGCTCTCACTATAGCTTTGTTTCATATTTGCCACATATAAAAGCAGTGTGGTGGAGGGGCAGAGAAATCACCCCACTCGGAGCATCTTTTCATTTTGAATTGCGTGGCAGATGCTACTTTCAGCTTCTCGGTCTCTCAGTGCCAACTCCCGTCAGTCATTAGAGCTGCTAACTCACGCTATCCCAGACATTCAATGGTTTTGGGTTTGTTCCAGAGGAAATGTCTCTTAAAAGCAGTGAACCAGGAAGCAATTGTGAAAGTAAATCACAGCTTGGTGTGTCTTGGGTGCTAGCTTCCCACAGCGTTGATTTTTCCGTAAAAAATAAGGCACAGAATTGGCAGCAAGGATTCATTTTAAAGAACACACACACACACACACACACACAAGCTCTTAAAAAGTTTGTGGGCATGAGCATTTGGGTCAGTGTCAAATTGCCAATTGGGATTCCCACATCGGTACTTATACAGCCGTATATGTGCAGGTGATGCCGAGGTTGTGGGAGTCCCACATCTAACATCAGATGATTCAATTCCTGGCTCCCCTCCTTTGGATCTAGTTTCGGGCTGATATGCACCCCCGAGGACAGCAGATTTTTACCTAAATACTTAGATCATTGTCACCTATATGGGAGACCCAGACTATTGTTCCTGGCTTCTGGATTTAGTCTGATTATTGAGGACATTTAGGGACTAAACCAGCAGATAGCCAAGTTATCTCTGTCTCTCTTTGTGTCCCTCTACTTGTAGAATAAAATCAAAATAAACAAATGCTTTTTGAAGTTTGCAAAAACAGAATATAATCTTTCGATTTAATTTCTCCACGAACATGTTCAAGTTTTTTTCTAGGAATAAATATATGTCGATATTTTGGGGAAAAAAATGAGTCCGAAATAATAGCTTCTTGATGGATATCTAACATCTTGATAGACAAAAAAAAAAAGGTGAGAAATAGAGAGGGCATACAAGTATAATTATTAAGATGGGGGAGATAAAAGGAGAACTCTGCCTAGCCTGCATTCTCTTAATTCTTTTTGACTGTCTGCCGTATACGCTGTTTCACTCTAAGCAAACTGATTATCAGAAAAATATCCTGCCTTCCAGATTCTTGCTGCAATGTTTGATGATACCTGTCAAAAAGATAAGATCTTTCAATGAATTAAAGAGGGGGAAAAGGCCAAACGCTCCTCATCATCTTCCTATGGTTTTCATTGTGTAATTACACCTTCTACTGTTTGGAGAAATTGGCTATACCTACAAGGAATACATATGATGTTTCTTTTTTTTTAATTCCTACAGAATGTAGGTGAGCAGGTTTATTTATCTCTGCGCCAATCACATATATGTATGTGCCTTAGTAGGGGGCTATGGCACATAAACGTGGAAATATTTCTTCTCTTTCACCAAAAACCTCAAAAAGGAATTGGGTTCATACTAAAGAGAAAAAGAAATCAAGAACTTAATATGAATTCTGATACTTCTCTAGTTATATTTGAGCACGTATACTCTTGTACATTCTGGAAAGGGGTTATTATCTTTAATCCCATAAATATTTCTGCAAGTCTTATTTCTTTACCTGAGATTGCTTACCAACTAGATTGTGCATCTGCAATTGTCCCTTATTCTTTTTCTTTTAATATGTTTATTCATTTTTATTGGAAAGGCAGATGTACGGAGAAAAGGAGAGACGGAGAGAAAGATCTTCTGTCTGCTGATTCACTCCCAGATGGCTGCAATGGTTGGGACTGACAGCACTCATACGGAACCCCAGTGCATGCAAGGCAAGGGCTTTAGCCACTAGGCTACCATGCTTCTTCCTCTCTTCCCTTTATTTTTTGTAAATATTTATGTGTGTATTTATTTGAAAGGCATAGTTACAGAGACAGTGGGAGAGGCATAGAGACCTTTTATCTGCTGGATCACTCCTCAAACAGCCACAACAGCTAGGGCAGGGTCGGGTTGAAGTCAGGAGCCAAGAAACTCCAGGCCTCCCACACGGGTGATGGATGCTCCTCTTGGACCAAGCACTTTCGCAGAGAACTGGATTGGAAGTGGAGCAACTGAAACTTGATCCAGTGCCATTATGGGATGCCAGTGCTGAGTTGTCCTTTAAGTCACATTGAATTCGAGTTTTCAGTGAACATCATCATCTCTGTTCAAGGACTTTCTCCTATGTACCACATGCAGTTTTTAAGTGACCATAACACACACATATACAAGTACTTACACTCATCTGTGGATGTGTACTACACAAATTTGTCTCTGTGTGTGTATCCATACAGAAAAGTGTATTTGTTCATCTCAAGACTTGTCTAGGTTCTTCACCCTCCAGTGAAGGAGTGAGCAACTTTGATTATTAACTAGTTTTTCCCAGCTTCAACATTATTCTCATGTGCTGTGTTAATTTTAAAACACAGGCTCATGAGGCTTACGGTCTGGCATGAATTGAGTACAAAACAGAAAACTGTAAATGCAATTAATACTAACTCAGCTGCCTCTCTTCTTTCAGAAATGGTCCAACTTTATCCTGTAGGAATGATCCTTAGAATCTAATTTCTTAGCCTATCAAATTCAATGAGAGGAGGGATCTGATATGATTTGTAACTACTTAAGCTAATTTAAAATGACCAGCAAGAGCAGCTCTGTTTTCTTATCCAGATTTCCTCTATGGCATCATTTCATAGACTTTTTTTAATCAATTTGTAAGTCTGAAGCTGAGGCTTGGGAACCTTTTCAAAAATATATTCCAAATTTACCTTACATATCAATGTATTGTTGGGTCATGCTCAGTTGTCTCCTCCAATCCCTAACCATACCACATCCTCTGAATGTTTTTCTAGATCGGATATTGCAAGCTGTTAGTTCATGGAACAGTAGGTGACAGGGGACTAGCAGGCTGTGATTTGGTTTCAATGATATTTACAACTAAAAGTCATCTCACTCAACTGCTTTACTTACTAGAGAGGAAACTTGGGCACAAAAAAATGTTCCATAGTATGTCTAAGTTCAAAAGGTTATACAATGGGCCCCATGCAAGGGCTCAATGGCTAAATCCTCACCTTGCAAATGCTGGGATCCTGTATGCATGCAGGTTTGTGTTCCAGTGGCTCCACTTTCCATCCAGCTTCCTGCTTATGGCCTGGAAAAGCAGCAGAGGATCTCCCAGAGCCTTGGGACCTTGCACCCATGTGGGAGACTGAGCAGAAGTTCTTATCTCCTGGCTTCAGAAGGGCATTGCAGAATAGGATAAACAATCATCCACTTGGCTCCTTTATTTTTCCTATTTCTAACCATTTGTTCTTGTTTTTTCTTCCACATGACACCTCTTCTCAAAGAGTCAGTTCATGTAACTGTCCTTTCCAAAGAGCCAACACTGAGTCTATGGACTGAAATATCACTCCATGCACGAGTTAACGTTGTGTCAACCACAGGTTGCAGATGATGCTCAGAACAGTCTGATGAGACTGTTACTTCAGATAGTGCATGCTTTAATTAGCCCTACAAGTCTTAGAGCGGCTTTTGGGGGCTTCCTCCATTAGTGCCTTATTGAGGCAGTGGTCCTCTTAGAAGTGCACGTCTGGGATGAGCAGTTGTCACAGTGGTTAAGCTGGCTGCCTGGGATGCTTGAATACTTGGGATCAAAGTATAGTTCTGCTCACCACTCTAACTTCTAGTTAATGCATACCTTGGGAGGCGGCAGGTCTCAAGCAGCTGTGTCCTTGACAGCAGTATGGGAGATGTGAATTGAGCTCTGGCCTCCTGGCTTTGGCCTGCCCAAGCCCTGGTTTTTGGAGGCATTTGAACAGTGAATCATTGGATAATAGATCTCTCTCTCTCTTTCTTTTTTTCTCTCTCTCTCTTTTTCACTTTTCTCTCTGCCTTTCAAAATTGAAGTAAATAAATTTTGAAATTTTTTGTGTTAAAAATCCTTAATTCTGGGAAATTTTTTAACCTTTATTTATTTGTTTCTAGCTTACATGAAGGAGAGAAAGATGTTCCATCTCCTGGTTCACTCCTCAAATCTCTGCAACAGCCAGCCAAAGCCAAGACAAAGGAACTCCATGTGGGTCTTCCACTCAGACAGCAGGGGTCCAAGCACTTGAGCCACAATCTGATACCTCCAAGGATGCGTTGGCAAGAAGAGCCA